TTCAGAAAGGCGGCGCATAGAGGAGAAACAATAATGTACAGTATGTGGAAAATAATGTGTTTTTTGAACCTTAAACTGCATAAACATTTCATTACACCAAATAATGTTCTTTTTAGGAACATCATATGACCCATTTAAAAAGACTAATATATATATATATATATATACGCTTTAGACCAATGACTTGAATAATTTATAATTTTTTTAATTTTGAAAAAAAAAATCCCCCCCAAATATAATAATAATAATAATACAATCACCCATGGCAGAGTTACTTTTGGCCAATGACTTTGAGTAATTGATCACAATTACTAAATAATTCTAATTTAATTTAAATTATAAATTTAAAAAAATTAAATCGAACATAGAAAAAATAGAAAAATAATACAAATAATATTCAATAGAAAACTTTCTACAAATTTCTTGTAATAATTTACATGAATTAAACATGCAGTTATAAATAAAACAGCATGTTTAGAAACAGCTGATTATAATTCATGTCGATCCCATGATCCTCTCTGGCACTCACTGCTGGTCGGTGGTGGAGTTGAGTCGGGCTGATCTGCGGTGGATCTGTTGGAAGGCCTGGTTCTGTCGGGCCACCCGTCTCTCCTCCCTCACGGCATACTGGAGCTTCTTCTGCAGCTGAGACACCTGCTCCTTCTCCTGAGACAGCTTCTGCTCCAGAGACTGACAGCGCTTCTGCAAATACACATCCAATATTAGTGATAATGCAATATTAGTAGAAAGCAGATAATGCATTTATTGCATGAATACCTCAGCATCTCTCTTTTCCTGCTGCAGTTGTTGGAACTGGCTGTGCTGTTGGGCCGCTTTACCGATGTACGAGTCCTCTAGGTCTTGAACTTTGACCTTCACCCCATCCAGGATGCCCTCCAGCTCGGCAGCCCTCTGAGACTGACGGGCGGCTCTCGTCTGATGCTGCTGCACTTCCTCTCTGAAAATTATACAGGCATCTTTATGTGCTGTATGCGAGTTATTTGCTTGGATTAGCTGTGCTGTGGAATGAGCGGGGAACACGTCTGTCCTGTCAGCTGATCTCATCTCCTTCCACTCATCCTGCGTTATATTACACTACAGCAGATGGGCAGCACTGCCGCACACGAGGGGTTTACATTATTGAGCGTGTGCTGACAGAAGCGACATGTCCAGGAGACGTTCCTGGAGAAACCACGAGTGCTAAACAATTCAAATATTAAAGAGTCATTTGAACATCTATGCTGAAATTCTAATAAAGAGAGGAATGACACATTTCACCCCAAAATGACACCAAAATGAGAAATTACAGTATATTTTGCATAAAGTATCCATTAGGACATTATTTTCATGACAATTAAGTTCAAATCTGAAATTCAAATTACCGCAATACATAAAAACTGCAATAAGTAAGAAAAAAGTCATTTTGTTGTTTCATCTTGTTTAAAACTTTAAATCAACATACATGCTAGTTAAAGTCAGGACAACAAAAATATTCAATTATGCAAAAACTTCATAATTTATTAATTTTTTTATTCTATTTTGTTAGTGCTGTCAAATGATTAATCGCATCCAAAATAAAAGTTTTTGTTTACATAATATGTGTGTGTACTGTGTATATTTATTATGTATATATAAATACACACAAATATTTTGAAAATATTTACATGTATATACAGTATGTTATATTTAACATATATATAAATATTGTTAATATATAAACATAACACTTTTTTCTTAAATATATACATGCATGTGCGTGCATTTATATATCCATAATAAATATAAACAGTACACTCATATACTGTATGTTATGTAAACAAAAACTTTTATTTTGGATGTGATTAATCGCGATTAATCATTTGACAGCACTAATATAAATCTTGAGGGAACCCATGGTGAATTAGTCTTTCAGGTTTAGTCCCTGCAGTGCTCTATTGTGGACAAAAGTCACGAAGACACATTCATGCTAGGAATGTAGAAGACATATAGTAGCATATAGATGACCTCAAAACTAATAAACACAATGTGTTGATGGCATTCTCGTCAATAGGATACAATGAGGTCTACGAGCCTGTGGTACAAGGCCTTTACATGTTGTTTTCTCCCAAAACATGAGGCATCAAAAAATCTTTCTTCACTTTTGTTCACTGTGACTAAACCTCCAGACTGTCAGTCAATGTGGAATAAGCGAAAGGAAAGTATTTGGGATACAAAGCCTTTATGTTGCTGAAAAGACAGGCTGTGGTCCAGTAAAGCCACCTACTTTCCATAAGGGACTGGGGATGGATTTTTTGTGAAGGAAGTGCTAAATCTGTCCACACTGACTGATTAAGTCATAAACGAGATTTATTGTTTGCTTAAAGGTGCGGTCACGTTTACTGTTGCTCTATGAATGTTTGAGACAAACTCTCATTTCAATAGGAATCTGCACTGAGGAAACATTTTGCATTGAGTTCAAGATTTTTATGCAAATGTGCCGCCGCGAATGAATGCTGCTTGGTTTGATCATTTCATGAAAACATATCACTCTTCTCTTAGCTCCTTAAAGGGATAGTTCACCCAAAAATGAAATGTACCCCATGATTTACTCACCCTCAAGCCATCCTAGGTATACTGTATGACCCTTTTCTTTCAGATGAATACAATTAAAGGTATAGAATATAATATAATAATAATATAAT